GGGGGGGGGGGGTGGTTGAATTTCCTACTAGTAGGTCCCCAAACAGGAACTGGACCACAGAGTGTGAGGGACAGTCATCCATTTACAAAAAGAAGTAAATTTTCATGACCTCCCTGCATTATTCCAAGCACCGTGCTACATACTTGTCACGAATTTTCAATTCTCTCAACCATGCAAGGATAACGTTTACACTTGAGGAAGTAGAAGTGAGAATTAAGTACTTTGTCCAAGATCGCAGAAAGCCAGAAGCATAACCCAGATATTCAGATGGCACAGAATATTTCCAGTGCCCACACTGAGGATAACTGAGCAGCCTCAAGGGGACACCTGATCGCCGTGCCTCGTGGTCACCCTTGTTACTAACGCCACAGGTTCCCTCACTGAGGTTCTGGATGTGCTGTTCTGACTGCAGCACAAACGACTTTTACCTCCTGGAAACATGAAATCATTATTATTTAGACTTTTCTACTCCTAAAAACCCAGAACTAGAACTGCTGATAGTTGGCCTTAAACTTATAATCAGTGCAAGCTAATAGTGATGAAGGGGCCTGAAGCTTCAAAACACCTAATGCAGGGCTAGGAACTCCCCCACCCCAAGTGTAAATCCCTTGAAATGTACTTACCTTCTGAGCTGTACCCTAATATGAAGCCCCTGCCACTGGCCACCACAGAAGCTAGTTTAAAAAGCAAGTGTCGGGGCGCCTGGGTGGTGCAGTCGGTTAAGCGTCCGACTTCAGCCAGGTCACGATCTCGCGGTCCGTGAGTTCGAGCCCCGCGTCGGGCTCTGGGCTGATGGCTCAGAGCCTGGAGCCTGCTTCCGATTCTGTGTCTCCCTCTCTCTCTGCCCCTCCCCCGTTCATGCTCTGTCTCTCTCTGTCCCAAAAATAAATAAACGTTGAAAAAAAAAAAAAATTAAAAAGCAAGTGTCTTCACTCTTAACTTGCATCTTACCCACTTTGGGAGAACTCTGGATAGCACATTAATCTCACAGTAATTTACGGCATGCCTTCTCCCTCCAGGGACTATCCTGGGCATCAGGGATAGAGCAGTGAGCAGAGTAACCTCCTGCCTTTTGTGGTATTTACCTTCTCTTTGACTCATATACATACAAAAGTTTGGAAAAGTGGGAAAACGGGTGTATTGATAAATGGAATGTATTTGGTAGTTCTTTCCTACCAAAAAGGGTAGAGGAAAAAGAAAATGTGTGTTGTTAAAATGGCAAACCATAAGCACATAACTATGATGATCATCTATTTCTAAACAAAAATGAGACGTGCAGTCTGTCAATGGGTTTTATTTTCTTGTATTTTCTTTCTAATCTCTAAAATTGTTTCCTATGAAAACTTTTCCCAGAAGTAAAAAAAATAAAATCACATTTAAGAATATATTCTGTGACTCATCTTTATTTAAAAGATTAAAACCAGGGGCACCTGGGTGGCTCAGTCGGTTAAACGTCTGACTTCCGCTCAGGTCATGATCTCGAGGTTGGTGAATTCAAGCATCGCTTCGGGCTCTCTGCTGATAGCTCAGAGCCTGAAGCCTGCTATGGATTCTGTGTCTCCTGCTCTCTCTGCCCCTCCCCAGCTTGTGTTCTGTCTCTCTCAAAAATAAATAAACATTAAGAAAAATAAATTAAAAGATTAAAACCGTATCCAATATGAAGCCCAGCAAAATAGTATTAATAGCAGGATCATATTGTGTTTATCTTGGGGTTTTGAATTCTGAGCCAAATATCCAGGCATAAAGCAGGCATCCTATAAATCGTGGGTAGTGTAGTGAAGCGGTGTTCAGGTATGTGTTTATCCAATGTTAGATATCATGTTAGGGTAAGTATTACAATAAAACATCAAGAAAGGGCAAGCACATTGGGCAGGGAAGCATGGAAGGGGCGAAGGGAGAGGAACGTGCATGATTGGTGGCATCGGTTGATGGTATCTGACATGCCTTTGGGACCAGAGGGAATCTTCAAATGAAAACACTCAAGTAAAAACCATGTCCTTCCTTTCACCAGGGCGTTGTTGCTGGCGCACGTTCCAAAGGAGAACACAAACAGAAAATCTTTTTAACCATCTCCTTTGGAGGTATCAAAATCTTTGATGAGAAGACAGGGGTAAGTAAAAGAATCACGTGGCATTGCAAAATTGAATCCAATGACAGATGTGCCCTTAAAAGCCTCTACTCGGTGGGCAAGAATATCAAACAAGCATAAAAACACATAAAGCGACTGACAAACTTGATCAACTGTGATCGTCCATCAAAGGGAGGCTCTTCCCTGACTTGGCCTCAGTGTGACTGCACAATGTTTCTTACGGTGTGATTGCGATAAAAGTGTCACACAGTCCTGGTAATCTAATGGGAGATTGATGGGCTTTGAAGAGTGGTGGGTAATGTGACAGTTTACGTTAAATTTCTGTGTATGTTGGCAACGTTAATGACATGCATCCTAGAGGGAGACCCGTGAGCGTCTTTTGACTTGGTCAAAGCATCCAGACTCTCCCGAGTGTAACCTGTGCCACCCTGCAATTGCTGTAATCAAAAAGAATGAACGAGTTCTCAGTCTTAGACAAATCTGTCACTGTGTGACCAGGAAATGTAAGGGCTGATAGGTCTGTTGAACCTACCAAAGAGGCTGTGTGTGTTTCCGTCAGCCCCCAGCAGCAGTCAGCTCCCACATTCATCCCCAGGGCTTCCCTGACGTTGGTGGTCCTTGTTCATTGGCAGTAAGAGAAAAACAAAAATGTTCTAGGATCTGTTTTGTCCAGAGGGCAAGAGTCTAAGTGACGTGGTTTTTTTCCTTTTATTCATTCAGCAGTCTACAGCTTATGAAACACCTTTACATAGATCACCTCCTTTGCATTTCACTCGTTCATTTTCAAGCGTTGTATAAACCAAACTCGACCAGCCACGTTACTTTGCCTGAGTCATTTTGCGTTATCCTTTCCTCCCCTTCGTCCTGACTCCTATTAGGATGCCATAGGGTGGGAGGAGGATAATTCAACAGTAAAAATGGGTTTTGAAGACAAGTTACTTCTGAATAATTCGCAGTAGGACAGATATTTGTACACCCATGTTCATAGCAGCATCATTCACAGCAGCCAAAAGGAAGAAGCCACCCCAGTGTCCATGAGCAGATGAACGGACATAGAATGTGGTGCATGCATCCAATGGAATGCTATCCTGCAGGAAGAAGCAAGCAGGTTCTCACACCTGCCAGTATATGAATGAAATTTGAAGACATAATACAAAGGGAATTAAGCCTTATTAATAGCAGGGTCATGTTGCGTTTATCTTGGGGTCTTGAATTCTAAGCCAAACATCGAGGCAGAAAGTAGGCATTTTCTCAAAGATACCACTTATATCGACATATCTAGAGAAATGAAATTCATAGAGACAGAAAGGAGATTGGTCGTTGTTAGGGCCTACAAGGAGGGCGGTACGCGATGAAGAGTCAGTGTTTGGCAAGTACAGAGTTACAGTTTAGGAAGAAGAAAATGGTGCTTGTGACGGATGGCTGGGGTGGCCGCACAACAGTGCGAATGTACTTTATGCCACTGAACTGTACCCCGAGAAGTGCTTATCATGGCAAATCTTTAGTATAAAAAATCACTAGTGATACTAAGTCCCCTCTTTGGGTTGCCTACTGTATACTAAGCTCATATGAGTCACTTGACATACATTATTCAGTTTTGCCCTCACAGCAGTATTATGGGAAAATAATAATAGCTACTTCACCAAGCACATAATATGTGCCAGGCATTGTTGTAAGCCCTTGGTAAGTAACAACTCATTTAATCCTCACGAAGTCCCCATTGTTCTCTGTTTCGTGCTTGAAGATATAGAGGAGAGAAAAGTGTTGAGTAATTTATTGACAGTAAGTGTTGGAGGAGACAAGATTAGACCTCAAGTAGTCTGGCGCACGAGTCTTTTCACTTAGCCTCTATAACTGTTATCTCTCATAATAAGTGACTTTCCCAAGTTACCCAGCCTATAGGAGGCAGAAGTGGGATTTAGCCTCCTGTTGGCCCCAGTCAATATCAGGGCAGTTGACCTCTGTATTAAAGAGAAAGGTGGGCTTACCTGGGGAGGTGCCTTGGGAGAAGGGAGTTTAGAATGAGGGCACAAGCACAGGTAGTAAAGGAGCTTGAATGCAGCAAGATTAAGAACCTAATGAAAGCCTCTCCTGCCTTAATAAGAGTATGACTTCTGTAACCAGGGAAGCTTTTCCTTCTCCTGGGTAGACTATAGTTTGGAGACCTGTGCTCAGGTTTGAACTTCACACTTGAAAAAGGACATAGGCAAATCAAGGAGTGCAGGCAAGTGTGGAGTGAAGTAAGCCGGACAGAGGGCAGCTAAGACAATTGGAGGACTAGAAAATATGTTGAGCGAAGACTTCTCAACACAGGTGTAGCCTCATGGGATCCCGGGTGACACGCAAGAGTCAGAGAGCTACAGGCTTGTAGAAACTTGTAAGATGTCATTGATCCCTTAGCATCTTTATTGGAGGGAGACAAGTCATGTGAGTCAAGCCTGACCGAGAGATTTATATGTCCTAATAGTACGTCATCATCTCTAGTCTTTTCCCAATATCCCATCTGCCTGCTACCATGACAGCTGGTATAACCAAAAGGGCAGGAGTGAGGCAGAGTATCAGATAATTCATCTCGTCCAGGGGCCATATTTTAGGGCATTGCTGTTCCATCATGTCACCCACCATCATATAAGCTGTGCCCAGATCGTTAACATCCCAATCACCAAATTTTAACTAGTGAGGAGAGGTAGTTTATATTCTTGACCTGGATCTAAATCCTCAGTCAAGGGTGGCTAAACCGGCCCCAAAGAAAGAGATCACCAAACTCTGTAATGCTATTTTTGATTCTTCAGCTGGATCCCAATCCTTATATGAGTATGTTCAGTGAAATCATTATTTCAGCTCAAAGCCATTTGACTTTGTGGAAAAATGTCAGATCCCTGTTGGAAAATCAGGGGGAAGGCAGAGCTAAATGTTTTCTGTCTGGCTTACTTCACTCCAGTCCTGTTTGATTCACATTAGGCTCCTATAGCCTCTGGCTTCTGCAAACTTGTTAATAAACCTCCACACAAGTCTAGGGAAAACGAGTAGAAAGGACTGAACATGTTAAAGCCTGAAGCACAGACAGTAGGGATCAGGACACCCCATATTAATAGTGCTCATCTCTCTAAAGAGCTGTGTAATAGAAGAAGGAGCTGACTTGTTTTGTGTGACCCAATAAATAGAACCAAGATCTATAGAAGTTTTAATGAAGCAATTTTGATTTCTGAGAAAGAAGAGTTTTCTACCAGTCAGTTAGATGGACCACCTTCTGTGCTGGTGGTCCAGATGGTGAGTTCACCATCACTTAGGGGGTATTCAAGCCACAACCATAAGATGGAGAAATTGTCAAGCAGAGGATGAACCATTGAACAGAGTCACATCTAAGTTGAATCCTGAGACTAGTTTCAAAATTCTGTTTCTTGGGGCGCTTGGGTGGCTCAGTCAGTTGAGCTTCTGACTCTTGATTTCAGCTCAGGTCATGATCCCAGGGTCCTGAGATCAAGCCCTTGGGCCCGTAGCCCATGTTCAGTGTGGAGCCTGATTAAGATTCTCATTCTCATTCTCTCCGCCTCTCCCCTCCCCCCTCCCTCTGCTCCTCTCCCTGCTGGCACTTGCTCTTTCTCTTCTCTCAGAAGAAAAAGAAAAAAGGAAAAAAAAATTCTGTTTCTTCCTTAAAGTCATCCCTGTCGATGTAATTTATCTTCAGATAAATGGAGGTTTTTCAAAGTCCACTGGAGATATGAGCAGGAACAGTTTACTAAACCTCTGTTGCTGCCCAGCATGGGACCAACTGAATTGTGCAGGATAAGAGTTTAAATGAAGTATTTTGTCCTACATATCAACAAAATGGAAAACTGGGTTTTTGTCATTTGGAATGACAAATTTTCGTTGTTTATCATATCTAAAGTATTCCTGCTCAAGCTGACGGCATTTTTTTTCAAACCAAAAAAAGAAACATTTGCAGAACGTGACAATAGCTAGAATTTTAAAATCCAAAAGCTGTCAAAAATGTTTTGATCCCAATTAAAGAGACCCTTTCAGCAATTTACACCTTGTCTCGAATTTCAAAGGGTTCTTGATCCCAATCCGTATATGAGTATGTTCTGTTTTATTATTAGCACGTTGCAGGGAATAAATCAATATTGAAAAGCTGTTCATATTTTCAGATCTCTAGGTATTGATAATGTGTCAGAGGATCAGTGAGAACGCAGGAAACGCCGTATATAAACTCATTGTTATTGGTAACAGTAGAAACGGTAGCAATCAGGAGTAGAAGTGGTTTCATGTCAGCATTACTAGGTTCTCAAATCAGACCAGTGAATACGAAGGCAGGAGCGATGTCACCTCCATTTCACAGATAACGAAACAGATTTGGGGAGTGTCTCTGACTTGGCTGTGGACTCCGAACAAACCTTCCCACCTCAGATCTTTCTTTCCAGAGAAACTCATGGACTCTCTCTCCTGATTCCATAGAGATCCCATAGTTTTATTCCATAGAATTATTATAATTTTATGCCATAAAAAAATCATAAATATTGCAGGACCCCGACAATACATCTGTTTCTCAAAAGAGAGGGCGGTCATCTGCATCAGCTTTTCAAGATGATGTAACATCGTGTTGCCATAACCACGTGCGAATTTTGCTTGTTCATTTGATTTAGCCAACACTCGGCACTGTTACGTGTGCCATTTGAGGTACATTACGGTAATTCTGTGAAGTAGGTGCCCTTATTATTGCCATTTTCCAGTTGAGAAAACTGAGATCCAAATTCAGCTGCACAGTAAATAAGTAGCAGAGCTGATATTCAAACCTAGGTGGTCTGGTCCAGAATCCTTGATGCCGGTAAGATAGCACGAATGATAGCATACCTGCCTTTGTCTGGGCTGCTAGAACAAAAATACCATAAAGGAGGTGGCTTGTAAATAGCAAACATTTATTTTGCATGGTTCTGGAGGCTGGGAGCCCAATATGACGGCCCCAACAAATTCAGCGTCTGGGGAGAGCCCATTTCCTCAGAGATGGGGCCTTTTCACTGCAT